ATTCAGAGATTTGAAGAAGGTACATTCCCTGATTATCTAATGAATGAGCTGCGGTGAGTATTCTAGCAAACTATAATTTTTCAAGTTTTTTGTGTCAATGTATATTAAAGACAATCTGCTTTTTGCAGCCGTTCTGGTTTCACTGAACCTACTGCAATTCAGGCCCAGGGTTGGCCAATTGCATTGAGTGGGAGAGACATGGTTGGCATAGCAATGACTGGCTCAGGGAAAACACTGGCGGTAAGTTCTTCACATTGTGACAGTCAAGGCTAATTTAAGATATTCATTCATAACATGTAAAAGTTTTTACTAAATGTAAAATAAATTTTGAACTAAATTTTGGTATTTATTCTCAATGGTAGTTAGCTGTAATTAAATTACAGATATTCTTAAAATTACATTAATGTAATAGTATTTGATTTCGTAGATTATAAAGATCATGTGGCTAAATATTCAAAATTTTGTAGATAATCAGTCAATATTTTCCTCTTCACAAATCAACAAAGTAGCTTGCTATATATGAGGGGGTACCCAAAAATATCCGGAATCATTTTTGAAAAGCTGTAAATATTTTTAAATGTCTTACAGTACAACCTTAATCTCCTTCAAAATTTCCTCTCCATTGACACTAATAAATTTGTCCAGCGGTCCTTCCACTGTTTGAAACACTTTTTTTTTTTTGCTGTCCTCTTTAGTAATGGCTGATAGCTGCTCCTCAGTTTTTTTCTTGACCTCTTCAATGTTGTCAAACAGTTATTCTTTCATGCCCCTTTTCATACGTGGGAACAAAGTTGCTTGGAGCCAAATCAGGCGAATAGGATGCTTGGGGCTGCATTACCATATTATTTTTAGCAAACAGTTGCCAAACTGTGATTGCGGTGTGTGCAGGTGGTGTTGTGATAGAAGAACCACTTTCCTGTCTGCCTCAAATTGGGTCTTTGTTGGACACTGTTGTGCAATCTTCATAAGACTTGCAAATAAAATTTTCGGTTTACGGTCCGATTTCAGGGAACAAACTCTGCATAAACCATGCCCTTGGCATCAAAAAAGCAAATAAACATTGTTTGATTTGACATGTCTTTGGATGAGGTTGTGTTGACTGTTTTGTTTCTGGGTCGTAATGATAGCACTAGGACTTATTGTCCAGTAATTATTTTTGACAGAATATCTGGATTGGTTTAAAGTTGTTTCAATGCATGACAAGTTTTAACCCCTATTTTCTTTTTGAATGTTAGTCAAAACCCGAAGAACAAACTTGGCAGCAATCAAAGGGTATGAAAAGACAAGCCGAAATAGTCTGTTAATATTCGCTGAACCGAGCTCAAAGATACTATTCCAAGATCACCGAGATCCACTAATCTGACAGTTGTTAAATTGTCTGGCGATGATCTGTGTGCACAAGCTCTTCAATTTTGTGAACATTTTTGTTGATTCGGGCAGTTGAAGGCTGTTCAGAATGAGGTTTATCAACCGACATGTCACCATTTTTAAAAGGAGCAAACCAATTGTACACTTGAACTTTTCCCATAGCGACATCTTGTAAGCAATCTTCAACATTAAGTTACAGCAGCATTATTTCCAAGTAAAAAACAAAATTTCACAGCTGCACATTGTTCACTTAAACTTGCCATTAAAAACGAAATACGGATAGAACAGTGCTCACGAAAAATATAACTGCAGATGAACAGAACAAGCCAGGTCAACGTACCTAGGCGGAACTGAACTCCAAGGCGTTGTGTCGCACGCTCCTAGCGGGATAATTTTGTACCATAGGCATGCTCACAGCAGAGCTATTCTGCTAATTTTTGGGTACCCTTCCAATTGTTGTAGAGTTTAGTTTTCTAATTTCATACACTGCTCTAGGTGCTGCTTCTTTGAGTAATATTAGTTTAGATTTTATTAAGCATGGGTAATTTTTATAAAGTTCAAGGAATTGAAAATAAAATTTTTTTAAAATTTAAATTGCCACTTGTGTTTTCATTACTTGAGTGATAAGGTTTGATTACTATCTTTTAATGTTGTATGTGGTTGAAATTTGCTTTATTTTGCATGCTGACAAGCCTGAAGTAATTTGACAATAATCAAATGGTAACTTCGTTGAAAATGCTTCGAGGGTCCAGCTTAAACACTTGGCTGCAGATGCCAAGAGTTGTAGTTGTTGGGATATCATGCAAAAAACCTCAGCAAATGAGTTTTAGCTCGAAGTACTTCAGATTGTGGGAAGTAAATTTATTTGGACAGGAAGGAAATGTTAAAAATAAAAATTGGTGTTCTTGTATTTGATTGCCTATTGATTTTTGTAGAAATTTTTTCTTTGCCCTCCTCTCTTTTCGAAGTCCTCTACCTTTACATGTTCCATGGCTGTTATTTTATATTTGTTTCCAGTACATCTTACCAGCACTTGTTCACATAAAGAATCAATCAAGAATTCAGAGAGGTGATGGTCCAGTTGCTCTTGTTTTGGCTCCCACTAGAGAATTAGCACAACAAATACAAACAGTGGCTCGTGATTTTGGTAATCCTTGCCGGATTAGAAGTACATGCATCTTTGGGGGTGCACCAAAGGGACCACAGGTATGGATGACACCCAAAGGCTAATGCTGTTATTCTTGTTTGTGTTATTACTAAGTTCTATTCATTTCTAGGCCCGTGATTTAGAGCGTGGTGTTGAGATTGTCATTGCAACACCTGGAAGGCTAATTGATTTTTTGGAGAGGAATACTACAAATTTAAAGAGGTGCACATACCTTGTATTAGATGAGGCTGATAGGATGTTAGATATGGGCTTTGAACCTCAGATTCGAAAGATCATCGAGCAAATTCGGGTAATTACTGTTCAACTTAGATTTGTTAACATATTTGGTAAGAATGTTAAAAACTAAATCATTTTTAATGTTCTTTAGCCTGATCGCCAAACACTTATGTGGTCTGCCACATGGCCAAAAGAAGTTCGTAAACTGGCTGAAGATTTTTTGACACAGTATGTACAGATCAATATTGGTTCCCTGCAATTGTCTGCCAACCACAACATTCTTCAGATTGTTGATGTATGTCAAGAACATGAGAAGGAAAACAAGTAAGGGAACATATTTACACGAATTGATTTTTCCTGCTTTGAAAATTTTGAAATCTTTTAGTAATGTTGTATATGATGCATAATCAATTGTTTAGGTTAAATAGTTTGCTTCAAGAAATATCAGGAGAACAAGAATCTAAGACAATTATTTTTGTTGAAACCAAAAGGAAAGTGGAGTTTATCACTAAGAAAATCAGGAATTATGGGTAGGTGTTTAAAAACTCTCCAGAACATTTTAGAGCTGTTATGGAAATCTGACTGATTTTGCTTAGTTTCAGAGCTGTGTGTATGCATGGAGACAAATCTCAAAATGAGAGAGACTATGTTCTGAAAGGTAAGATTATCATTTTATTAATGTTGAGAAATGTGATATTCAAAGGGGTATATTATTGTTAATGACTTTCGTTCAAGAGTTTCAATTCTATGTATAACCTGTTTCACAATACACCAAACAATTGTTGCTGAAGTTAGCTTGCATATTTGAGTCTTCAAAATTGAATTTAGCTACTATTTAGAACTTCAAAATAGCTTTTCCCTTACCATCACTAATTCTCTCAATTCTCCTAAGTTTCCCCCTGTGACCCACCACTATTTACCCAAATACAAAGTAACTCCTAAATATGATAAAGCCTATGAATTTTAAGAATGTTTGACATAAGTCTTCAGTATATATATTCAGGTAAATGTAATTCTTGCGGTCAAAAAGGGTTCAGCTTGTGTTGTTGCAAAAGTAGGGGACTAGAAGTAGCTTTAATGTACATACATATTTCATTGAAGTTATACTAATGAAACTTTTAATTTCAGAGTTCAGGACAGGTCGTTCACCTATTCTTGTTGCAACTGATGTAGCAGCACGAGGCCTAGGTGAGTAGTTAAAATTTAATTTTAGGGTGTATGAGGAGTTCAGTACTCCAGACTGGTTAATTTACAGATGCCTTCTGAGGGTAAATGTCTATTAGGACATGGGAAATTGTTTGGATGCTCTTACCGCCAAGCTTCAAGTGGGAATAAATGTCATTTACTGTGCATGATAAGAGTTTTGGTCTGTGGAATTGGTTTGAAGTTCAGTACATGTTTGGGAGGAAGGAATAGTAAGACTTGATTATTTGGGTTCAGTCTTGTTGGGTTCGCTAGTAAACTAAAAACTTTGTCTTCAATGTAGCCACAGCTTGTGATTAGGGCTTTACAATGGTTAAGAAGTACAAAAGATTAGTGGACCATGCAGAAATTGATGCAAATTTTTCCCTTTCCGCAGCAGATATTGTTTTGTAAGAGTTTTATAAATACAGATTAATTATTTTTAATTACATTGATAAATGTAATATTGATGATTAAGGTTCCCTTTTTGTGGTCGTAAAGAAAGCAAAAAACTTTTTTGCTTGTTTGCTTGGGAGTTTTTAAATTTTGTTTTAAGACCCATGTATGTAAAAACTTCTAATGAAAGGATTATTTGGTAGTAGTGGGCATGGTCTTCAAACAACCACATTAGTGATTTTTTTCCACAAAGTTTTTTAACATCTGTCCTACTAAGAAAGAGTGCCTGGAATTCTATATTAACAAAAGTTTCATTTGTAAGATTCATAAACATTCGTAGTTAATGTAATTTGAATTAAATTACAGTAAACCCCTTTTTTAAACTTTGAATGAAAAAAGTTAAAAATAAAGGAAAGTTAAAATATGATAGGCTAGGCAAGTACTGTCATTATATACTGCAATGGTGGCTGTTTTTTACTTTTCTCACCCTTTGTAAGAGGAAAAAAGTAAAATTGTGCCATGAAACAGTGAATTATGTCAGAAAAATCTCGTATTGATGGGTCCTGGTAGTGAAATCTTACTCCTACCTGTAGTGAATTACTTCTCAAACGGTTATGAAGTCTGAATCAGTTTTGAATTTGTGAAATCGCAAAATATAATGAATGCAAAACAATTTTTTCTGTTAGTGGTAAATGCTGGCACCTAGTCGCGAATTTTACTCCACAATTGATATTCCTAGATTATCGTACACACTCAGGCTTTTGTGAGTTTGCTACATACATATGTAGTAATTTATTACTTATTGGAATTGAATTTCACCTTTTTTTCTGTATCATTTATAGTTTTCTGTTAAAAATCAGTTTTTTGCTGCATGAACATCCTCTATTAGGTATAAATACGTACATGAGAATGTAAAAAAATAAAAAAGAAAGAAATGACATAAGACAGGAAGAGAATGCATTGTAACTATAGGCTTTACCGGGCACCAATGCAAAATTACATAAAATGCAGGAAAGCATATAAACCAAGTTTTACTAAAATGATAAATTTTGTCATCTGCAATGGTTTTATAATGCAAATTTGAATTTTAATAAAATACATTCGTAGAATTGGCAATTACATTTACACTGTCAGTGTTAATGTAAGAAAAACTAGGGAAATGTGAATCACTTTTGCAAAATCACAAAATAAGAGATGTGGCTGGACACACTTTATTTCAAAAGTCATTACCCAGGTGGAAAGGAAGATCAATGACGTGTGTGATGGTGGTGAAAGTAGTTTAATTTAGAATTTCTTGGATTTTGTAATTCACCTAGATACCAATGGTTATGAATTGCCAGTTGTGAGAATTCTTCACTGCAGCACTATTAATGTCAAGTAACTTATGGTGTTTAATTTAAATCTTGAGTGGTGGATTCTTGAGCCTTCAGTACTGTAGACAGCTGAATTTAAGATGAAACTGGACATCAATTAGGTGAGAGGTGGGCCCCTTCCGTTAAACTTGTAGGGTTTTTTTCTTCATTTGAAATAATATTAATTGGGAATAGATGTTGGTTTTTATTTTGGAAGGACCTCTGATAGTTGCCTGAATATTGCAATTTTTTAAAGTAAATTTTTATTTTAAAATTTAATTTCATAAAAGTAATATTCTAGGTCACATAGTTTAAAATCTTGGTATTTTATGTGCAGTGTGGCAATAGACCCTATATGGTTCTTGTAAAACTACTTGCTGGTTGGGTAAGTTGCATTCAGTATCCTCAGTGTTCAAAGAAGGGTGTTCGTGTAAATTTCAGCATACATGTGTTGTGGCATCATATTGTTTTAATCAGTCTGGTGTTTTGTTTTGTTTCAGAGGCACATGCGAGATGATTTTTTATGTTTAGATTTGTTTTTATAATAACATCTGGCAGTGCCTCTGCTTGCCTGTCGCGCTTGCTGTTGAAACTGGTGCATTGCGGCTTTGTGGCGCGTCAGGCAAGGCAGGACTTGGAGAGCCCAGGCAGTTAACAGCTGTTATTGCAGTACAGTTGGGTCATCTCCTGTGCTGTAAACTCCTCACACCTAATTACTTTCATAAGCAGCAGAGTGCTGTGAATATAAAGGGTATAGATAATCAGGATCAGAAGAAAAACTCCTTTGGTTTTCCCACCAAAAGGCCATTCAAGATGCTGAAGGTTAATATGCCATTTTATTTTGCCATTGCATTTGGTCTGGACATAGGTAACTGGTAGTGAAACAAAAAATATCAAATATGCTACAGCTGAACAAGTCAAAACTTCTGTGAAAAGCAGTTGCCTCACAGCTGGAGAAACTTTGCCACATGAAGGGTAGAATTACCAGGTTCATGACTTCTCATGAATGTTGATTCCATCTAGAAAGAACTAAAAGCTTACCTCTGTAAATGGTTGTTTTTCTGAGATGCTACCAATATTTTTTCCTTGCTCATTGACAAAGTTAGAATTTCTCACATTGTAAATTCTGAAGCTTGAGATAAATCTCTTTAAGGGGAGACATGGCTTGGAATGTGTACTGAGGATGGGGATTTATAGAGACCCAATGCTTGCTTCCTCCTGAAGGTAATGCATTGAATGTATGACAAACGAATGGTCACCATAGTTGGGTGTTTATTTATTTATTTTTAATTTATTTTCTTTTGGGGGATTAGTTTTCAAACTTGAAAATCTGATATAACATGTTTTCAGACCTTAGGAACTGGTGGCTATTTTACAAGGTCGGCAGGAGATAGAGATCATAATCATGGAATATGTTAGAGGGTACAAAATCATGCATGCACTCTGAGGGAGTTTTCAGTCTTGTCCAGCTATAGTGAATCGAGGAACTCATTTATTTTCCGAGTATAGAAATCTATCCAATGCCCTACACAAACTGTGGCCAAAGTTGTGCAGGAACAGCATACATGCAATGACTTTAACTGATATTGTGGCCATGTTTGTTGCCACCGGCAGTATGGTTTGTATTTCTATAGATCACGAAATGAAGCATGACAGGTGCCTATGGACTATTTGTAAGTAATTTTGGCAATTTTTAAATTAGCAGTTTTCATCCTGTGAAAGAAATGATTCATGCAAAAGTTTTGTTGCATTCTTTAAATTGAATTTGTTTTGATTGCATGAATGAATTTCAGCAATTTCTTCTTGAAATGGTCTTTGATCTTTGGATAGATGTATGATGGATTGACCAAAATTTTATTTGAAACATTATAAACTCAAGAAAAGTTTGACATGAGTAGATTCATGTTGTAATATTTTGATATAATGGCTAACTATAAAACTTGTTTAATGGTTTCAACAATGTTCTCTTGTGTAGATGTGGATGGCATTAAGTTTGTCATAAACTTTGATTACCCAAACTCGTCTGAAGATTATATTCATCGAATTGGACGTACGGGCCGAAGCCAATCTACAGGAACATCATATGCTTTCTTCACATCCAAAGACAGCCGTCAGGCCAAAGACCTTGTCTCAGTTCTGAAAGAGGCCAATCAGGTTGTAAATCCAAAGTTAAGCGAGATGGCTATGTATGGTTATGGAGGTGGAAGGGGAGGAAGAGGAGGAAATAGTGAGTAAAGTTTAGGCTTTTGATTGAAAAGAAAGTGAACAGAGGATGCTACATTTGCCATTGAGTTGTATGGTTTAGCATCTGGTGCAACATTTTTAAGAGGATGATTAATAATTTGTAGGTGGGCGCTGGGGCTATGGTGCAAGGTTCCAGGGAGGAGACAAAGCACAGCATAAACGATGGAATTAAATTTAGGTAAGGTGAATTTTGTATTATTTGAAGTTTTATTGAACTGAACTGAAGGAGAAAACAGATCGGAAGTGATAAAAATATGTAACTGAAAATAGACTTAAGTTCGAAGTAAAAAAATTTGTGATATATAATATGCACACTTTTCTTGATACATAACTCGTATCTGGGAGGTCAGGCTTTTATTAAATCTGATCTTAGACCATATTGTTTTCTCTGCACCTGAAGTATTAATCCTCCCAAAATGTTACAGCTGCTCCATAATCCTTTATTTGCTTCTCAAATTTTGTACCAATAGGTAATGTTTACTGTGCCATGTTGGCAAAACTTTATGTAAAATTCAATCTGAATACTGAATTGTAGGTGTGT